TGCGCAAACTAAGGCGAAGTGAAAACAAAAACAATAACGAACGCGAAAACGAGAGCAAAACAAAGACGAAACGAAGGTGAGAACGAAAGCGCAAACAGAGGCGAAACGAAAGCGAAACGAAGGCGAAAACGAAGGCGAGGACGAGGGCGGAAACGAAAACTACGGGAGAAGACCCGGAGGCATATTTTGGGAACGCCCTGTCGGTTTGAGAAGACCCTGGGTGCTAATTTGAGGATGCCCCATTGGTTTGGGAAGGCCCGGGGGCTTGGCTTGGGAAGACTCGTTTGGTTTGGGAAGGCCCAGGGGCTGGTTTGGGAAGACCCAATTGGTTTGGGAAGATACGGAGTTTGGGAAGACCCGGTTGGTTTGGGAAGACCCGGGAGCGTTGGTTTGGGAAGACCCGGGTTTGGTGTGGAAAGACCCGGGTTTGGTTTGGGAAGACCCGGCGTTCTGGTTCCGCAACATTTGGTTTGGGAAGGCCCGCTTGGTTTGGGAAAACCCTGGCCCCGAAGGGGGCGGGTAGCTTGAAGCTGCGGCCTCCTTTTTAGTGAGAAGTGCGCCACAAGCGCGCTTTTTCAGACCTCTGCTGGTAGGGCCTGGGCCTAGGCGGGGGGAGGGAGCGGGAGGCGGGGCAGCAGAGCGAGAGGGGAGCGGAAGGAGCGGGGCATCGGGGCGGAGGGAGAGGACGGAGGGAGCGGAGGGATTCTCGGTGTTGCCGCAGTCACACGAATGATATAAACTACAAGCCACCCCCTGCCTTCGAAGAGCAGCGTGGCGATGAGGGACATGAGACCCGCGCGTGGATGATGCCGAGATGTAGGCGGTGTGATATCGCAAAATGAGCCCCTCCATCGTGACACACGCTCCTTCCAAACCAAACATCCATGAGCGGATAAAAATGCACGTGAACGCAGTGTCGAGCAGAACATAAGCCAAAACTACGTTGACCACCGTATGACGGGCATCCCCAGCCAATACACTCACAAACTATTGACTGGATGTTATACCTACATGGACGCACTGCATGGCCACCCACCGCGCAATGGTTCGGTCAATGCCCGACTCTGCGCAACGGACGAACATTGATGCGTAGAATCGTGACATTATGTGAGGTCCTCACAGAAACGTTGAACCAAACACAAGCACACGAGAACGGTGTTGGTGAACTCCAGACTTTGCCAGGAAAACAAACACTAGCCATAACAATTCGCAACAACAAGAATGCATTGAAATATACGCCGCCCAACCCCTGATGATAAGCCACTTGGGCGAACCCCTGGCTCGCCGACCACCAGGGAGGGAAGAATACCCGCCAACAGCTCCCAGTCTGCGAATGCCAAGCCAAGGCCTAATATGAGCACAAAAGGAATACATTGCAGCACAAACCTCAAACCCTGACGGTGAGTCACAAGAGCGAACCCCTAGCTGTCCGACCGCCAGGGAGGGCGGAATGCCCAACAACAACTCCCACTTTGTGTCTTTACAACATGCATCCCACTCTGAAGCCTCAACACCATGCTGCGCGCTGTGTGACGACCCTCCGAACTGTTTTGCCACTGCCAAAAACACTGATGAACAATCCGAAATACGCTTGCACGCTTTATTCGCCTTCCCTCGACTTGGCCAACCCGATCGACAGCAAACGTTGGCTTGGAGACAAGTTGCCACTCAAGCGCCTCGTCGAGGCGTCGACGTACGACTCACTCCAACAAGAGATAACCCCAAATGCAGACGGATCCCTGTCCTGAGCCGCATGTGCTTGCCTGGAGGGAGCGGAAGAAATGGCGGGGGGGCAGAGGGAGCGGAGTAAGCGGTGGAGGAAGAGTGGAGGGAGCGGCGGAGGAAGAGTGGAGGGAGCGGCGGATGAGCAGAGCGGAGGGAGCGGTGAAGGAGCGGAGGGAGCGGAGCGAGAAGGAGCGGAGGGAGAGAACAGTCGCAGCCACGCTGGGCGTGGCGGCCGATAGAACGGCGGTATCCCCGAATGAGGGGCGGGCCTCCATCTCCAGAAGCGGGCCAGGCAAGATGCTGGGCGGGGCGGGGCCAAACGGGAGGTTGGCCGCACGGTGTGGGAGCTGCCGAAACGGGAGGGGGTCCCGTGGCTCCTCATCCTGCTCGTCTTCGCCCGTTGCTCCTCATCCTGCTCCTCGTTTTCGCCCACCTCCTCCGTCTCCTCCTCCTCCTCCTGCTTCTCCTTCTCCTCGTCTTCGTCCTCGCTCTCCTCCTCCTCCTCCTCCTCTTCCTTCTCCTTTTCCTCCTCCTGCTCCTCCTGCTCCTCTCCCTCCTCGTCCAACTCCTCTTCCGCCTCCTCCTCCTCCTCCTCCTCTTCCTCCTCCTCCTCTTCCTCGTCCTTGTATTATTCTTGCTACCATTGATAGTCTTAGCATTCAAAGTATTATCAACGTTAGTAGTAGTCTTATTATTATCTGCATATCACGATTAGTCTTGGCATTAGCGGTATTATAATTAATAGTCATATTACGCACACTAACAATGTGATGATTATCCGTGATAATAGTATTCGTACTAGTATCACTAGCCGTCTTGTTACTATTCTAGTGTTCCTCTTCTTCTTCCTCCTTCTCTTCTTCCTCCTCCTCCTCATCCGCCTCCTTCGCCTCCTCCGCCTCCTTCGCCTCCTCCACCTCCTGCTCCTCCTCTTCCTCCTCCTCCTCCTCCGTCTCCTCCTCCTCCTCCTCCTCCTCCTCCTCCTCCTAACACTCCTCCTCCTCCTACCAGTCCTCCTCCTACCATTCCTCCTCATCCACCCTCCTTCCTTACAAAATCATCCCTGCCGCACCCCCGAACGCGTCGGTAGGGCGGGCCGGGCGTTTCGCTTGAGTTCCTCTCCACGTATGATCCTAAAGCTTGACAGCGGGAAGCTGCAACAGATGCACGGGTGGAAGGCGGGTCGTTTTCGACATGTGGCTCCTGCCTTAGCGCCGCGCACACTCGTCTTAAACATTCCCAACAATGATAAATATTGAAAGCGGGCGGATGTCAAAATGTTGTTTTCGCCCTAGCGCCGCGCAGATTCGCTTTCAAAACTTGTAGCAGGTTTACGGATTCGCACGGTCGAAATCCCAGGAATTGTGTGCTGGCTAGTCTGGATTGTCAGGACGCAGTAATCAGGACGATTTGCGGTGCTGAAGTCCCAGAAATGTCAGACACGATTTAAGGTTGTGAGGACACAGCAGTTGCGTTGGTTCGCGACGCTAATGTCCCAGGAATAATATTCTGGCACGGTTGATGACTCTCAGACGGTTGTCTTCCAAGGGGGCAATTCCCGCAATGATGACAAATTCTTGTATGGACCTACGAAGACATGAACCTGGAAGGGAAGGTTTTTGCGACATCGTCGATGCGTTTTGGGTTTACTCTGGTCCTCCTCCACCTCCTCTCCCCCCTTTTCCTGTTCCTCCCCCCTCTTCCTCCTCGTCCTCCTTCTCCTCCTCCTCCTCCTCCTCCTCCTCCTCCTCCTCCTCCTCCTCGCCCTCCCCATCCTGCTGAATCCGCGGCCCTGGCACTAAGACCCACTGTAGGTCTAGTGTCCACCAGGGCCAGGCGCATCGGCTGGAAATTCAAAAAACGCATCTCCAAAGGCGCGTGCATCGGGGAAGGTTGTTCTCTGCACGCGGACGCGGGGCGACAGCCCGCCCGAGTGCCAGCGACAGGACACACCCCAGCAAAAAGGCGGCAGAGGGGAAGGAAGGAGGGAGGAGGGAGCGGGCGAGAACCGGAAGGCGGAGGAGGCAGGCGTGCGGCGGGGAGGTGTGGGCCACCAGACCCCCCTTTAAGCGCTCGCGCGCCCGCCAGCGGCAAGGAGCGGGGGAGAAGGGGGGAAGAGAGGGGGAGGAGAGGGGGCTCAAAAAGGCGCGGCGGCGCAGCAGTCGGGCGAGGCCTGGCGGAGGATGAGCAGGGAGGAAGGGCCAAGACGAGGGGGGGAGGAAGAGACCGGGCCCAGGAGCTAGAGGATCAGGGGCACCGCAAACGCCAACAGTTCGACGCTGGCGCGTTGCAGCGTTGCCGCCAGGCGCTGGTAGTAAGCGTCGATGACAAGATACCTGTGGCGCTCATCGAGACCATAGGCGAGGCTTTTGACGTGGCACATTGCCGCGGGCGTGAGGCCTAGTTTGTGGTATATTTGTGTCCTCCTGCTCCTGCTCCTGCTCCTGCTCCTGCTCCTGCTCAAGCTCCTGCTCCTGCTCCTGCTCTTGCTCCTGCTCCTGCTCCTGCTCCTGCTCCTGCTCCTGCTCCTGCTTCTCCTCCTGCTCCTGCTGCTCCTCCTCCTCCTCCTCCTCCTCCTCCTCCTCCTCCTCCTCCTCCTCCTCCTCCTTTCCTGCTCACCATCGGCCGCCATCGCACGGGTGTGGCACCAGGGGCTGCAACACGGGGCCGACTCTGCAGCGCTGGGGGGCGCCAGCGATGACCTCTCCGAGGAGGTGCGCGCTCACTTCCGACCGACGCGCACTACCCCAGTGATCACTCGGCGCACGTCGTCTCGTGTTGGGCCTGTTGGGCCCTAGACTGCTGTGTCGAGGGCGCGAGTACGGGTACCATGCCGAACCAGAAGCCCGACGAAGAGCAAGCCATGGCAGATGGTGGCTATCTTCATGCCCCAGCCCCTCACGCACGCGCCCTTTGGCAGGAGGACGGCTCGTGCTTACTCCCGCTGGCTTCGGGCAGGCTTCCGCTCCTAAGGCCGCCCTCGTCTTGCCTCAGCCAGGAGATCTGCGAGCCTCCAGTTCTCGCCTGCCCTTCGCCATCACTGCCTGGACAGCTTCGTCCAGAGCGATAGCCTCGGCAGTGAAGGAAGAAATTGGCTCTCGAATAAAACCGCCTCCCAATATCATCGGGTGGTCACTGTGTGGACCTACAGTTATCGGGATGGTCCTCGCCGAGACAAACGGCACACGTCCGAGCGATGCCAAGGCCCAAAGAAATGAACTGCAGCAGGGCCCGCGGCTGCGGCGGCGCCGCCACTCCGCGCGCTGGGCGGCCGCCTTGTCCTTCTCCACCTTCTCGGCGAATCTGGCCATGTCGGTGTTCTTGGGCACCTGGGAAGACTGCGACAGTCATCCGGCGGCAAGCGCAAGTGGAGGTAAAAAGGGGCGGCCTTCTCAGCCCCCAGCCTTTTGAACAGTTTTCTAAGCCTTCCCCAGAAACGCTGAAAGCTTGTTAGAAGGCTGGAGGATTTCTGAGAAGCCCCGTCACCGTCTGAGAAGGATCCTTCTCACTTCCCCCCTCGCTCGCCGCCGAACCTGGGAAGACTGCGACAGCCATAGGCGATCGGCATCATATCCATGCCCAGGCTCACGCCCCGACCCCACGAGGAGCCAGAGCAGGGATACGGACAGACTCCTGGCCTCCGAGGCCACGTGTTTGATCCATGCCCTGCTTCCCCTGGCGCCCGGCAGGGGGGGCAGCAGCAACGCATGGATCGAGGTTCGACCGTCGTCAATCATGTATGGATCCAATTGTGCGAGCGCTGTCTGACGGCCCTGCCCGGCGGATCGTGGTCCCGACGGGCCCAGGGCCCAAGCGCTGCCAACGGTGCGTACAAACAACGTCAGGCCGCCCTGCACACATCAAGCACTGGTGTGAACTTCTCGCAAACAATGCTCGCACTCGGTGACAATAGCTAGTACAGAACGCCAGCACGCGATGATGCGTTTGCAAACTAGCATTGGTCTCTCTCCCTCTCTCTCTCTCTCTCTCTTTTTTCTCTCTATCTCTCTCTCTCTCTCCTTCTTTCACACGCAAACACACCCGCACACACAGACGAACACACACACACACACACACACACACACACACACACGGACGCACGGACGCACGCACGCACGCACGCACGCACGCACGCACGCACGCACGCACACACACACACACACACACACACACACACGCACACACACACACACACAGTTTGGCGTCGCGGCCCTGCGCGCGGCGACAACGCGGAGAAAGTCGGCGATAGCACCCGCGACTCGGAGCGCAGAGACCGCTTGAGGTCCCAGAGCAGCTGGCCGCAATTACTCGACTGCGCGTGGATGACGGACGGAACGGCGGATGGACGAGACTACGGTGTGGTGGAAATTCCATAGGGACAGGATGGCGGGGGGAGGGAGTAAGCAGCGTGGGGCGCGACGAAGAGCCGAAAATCGTCCTAAAGCACACAGAGCGGGGGGGGCGCACGCCTACGGTGCCCAGGTGCCGAAGGCGGCAGGAGCCAGCAAAAGGGCACACAGAGTGAAGGAGCAGCGAGACCGCATAAGTTTGAAGGGGGTCGGGGGGCCCAACCAAATGCTTCGCCGAAGGTGAAGCCCGTATCCAACTCTGTTATACCGTAATAACGATAGCCCCAAGAGCAGGAGAGAGTCACGGGAGCGACGAGACATGCCAAGCGAATAGGTTTCCGGTGTAAATGGCGAACACTGTGCCTCGCGATGAGGCGCAGTCATATGTTGGCGGCCGGCCGCTTGAGCCTAAACGGCCGCGGACAAACGCTCGCTACATCTCGGGATTGCCCACCCTCCTTTAGAGTCGGGGGGGAGGAGACGAAGCGCGAGTCCGCCGCCAACTATACAGCTACACAGCAAAACACAATAAAACACAAGGCAGACAGCAGCAAGCGGGCTCAACAAAAGCAGGTTGTCCCGCTTGCAAGTCACCGTGCAAGCAAGTTACCTCGCAGGCACGCTGCCCTGCATATAACTACTCCTCAGGCGGTTCAGATGATGTCGTCTTCCCAGCCCTGTAGGGAGTGTGTCGTTTTAGGTCACGCTTGAAGGATTGCGCTCCTCCCACGACTTGTAAGAGCATGTCTGTGTCGATGCTCCCCTTGGCGTGGCCATCCGCAGTCATATCGCGAGTGTCACACCACTGCACACAGCGCGCAATACCTCATTCCATCATTCGTTGTATCCAACTGGCGTGCCCCACAAATGTACACTCAGTCAGCTTCTTCAGGTCTTTAATTGGCAAGGACTTGAAGATATAGTCTGTCTCGATGGCCAAGGTGACCTTAATGCTCAGGCCACCCATCTCAAGTATATCCTTCAGTTGAGTGGGTGTCAGCGGCCCTGCGTGGAATTCGCGCGGCCTGACGATCGTGGGATAGCAATCCCCCAAGTTGTGGGCTGCTGCATATTTCCGCTGAGTAGCTCGGGCGGACCTGCAATCGATGAGACCTGCAGTGCGCGTCGACCAGATGGGCGACGGGTTTGCTGGCGTGCGCACGTCAACGCCTTAGCAGGCTTGCCCCGCGAATGCCATGGCCTCTGACTTCGTCATCGGCATCTCCGCTCAGTCGCCGGTAGCTGGAGTCGCTGTGCAGGTCGACCTCGCCCGTTGGAGTCATCGCTTGATAGGCGATCTTTTTAGGGCAGACCTGCGACTTCCCGGCATTCGCGCTCAGTCGTTGCACTTGCATGTCGGGCGGTTCTTGGGCGCGCTGTAGTCGCGCAACATATGCCATTAACCGCGATTGCGTGATGCAGGCGTGAACCAAAGCGCCTCTGAGACGGACAGACATGTCAATGACCATCTTCGGCGCCTTCGCCTCAGCATCTGCGCCCGTGAGTTCGCGACGCTGGGGGCAACGGAGCTGTTTTATGGATTCGCCGTGGTCAAGTGCAACATTGCCGTCGCTGTCCTTCGCACATCTCACGGCGCAGTTGGCGCGCGTGCGTTCGTTGAGTTTACATTTCCCAAAAAGAATCCTCACGCACTTGACGCACTTGTCAATGGCGTCCTCGGCGCCGAACATGTTTACGTCATCGACGCGCTTTGCCGTGAGGAGGCTAGCGCTTGCCTTGAACCCCTCGTCGCAGGACGCCAGTTCAAGACCAAAACCTCTCGTGGTCTTCCTGAACTTCAAGGAGAAGGCTCTTGGTGCATCCTTGGTACCACTACCTGAATTGAGGCACTGCAAACAGCGTCTCGACTCATCATGGCGCTCAACAAATCCTGAGAAGGGATCTGAACACAGATGCTGAACCAGGTGGCAACGTAAAACACACCACGCGTTCCTTTTCATCGGTTGCTTCAGCAAGCTCCTGATAAGTAAGTCCCTTCAGGCAGGCGGTGTCTATGTCGAGGGAAGCAAAGATCCACTGCTTCGCTGCCGCGCTGCCGAATAGTCGCCGACCTGACCGTCGCGCCACCCCTGAAAATGCTTCCGCATCAAATGCTTCAGGGTCCACGAACACCCGAAGTACCAAGCGCAGTCTGATGGCACGTTCTATCTCGCCCTTTTCGTTATTGACGAACTTCCATGTATATACGCACCTCGAAGGCATGGTGTTTGACGGTTTGGGTATGCATTGTGTCTTAAAACGTTTGGTGCCAAATCATGCCTTGACATCAGTATCCAGGGCCTTCGACCCTTTGACTGGATTCGCATTGATATCTGACTTCGCTGGAAGGTCATCCACCTTGACGACTACAGCTCGATTGGTTGCAGCGGTCACATGTGCTCGCATAGTGGTCACACGGTCGATGTCCAATATCCTGTGCTGCTGTTCTGATAAGCCTAGACTTGACATTTCTGCCGTAAAGCAGAATTATACGTATTGTCCGTGCTCGTCAGAGTCCAATCAGAAACTGTCATGTTCGCCCGTGGAACACAATGGGGCATGATATGTCTCGGTTGTGTATATCCGGTGGGTTACCCCGCGTAGGCAGGTGCCCCCGCTGCTCTTCAGCTACTGTGACCAGCACATTGCTATCAGATCTCATCTGTGTGGGTACAGCATAGAGCTCGTCTGTTGAAGTTGTCTCCAACAGTTCCCTCTCGTCTTCTAGTTCTGTACACCACGCTTCCATCATGTGTGCCTCGAGGTCCACCTTTGTTTCTTTCTTCATACATGGTGCGAAGCCGCCCGTCTTCCTGTGGTTGTTCGAGTTCTGGGGTCCCCCTGGCGTCGTTGCCATGTATTGGCATGTCGGCCGGTTCTTCGAACTTCGCCATGTCTTTGTCGAAGACCGCGTGAGGTTTGGTGAACTTCAGGCACTGGATGATTCTCGAGTGTGCTGATCCAGTTATGTCTGGAATGTTTTGGGGCAGTGCCATCGGCTTCGCAATAGTGGAAGCCTGGGTTCACGTCAATGTCATCGCGCACCAATGTACAGCCGTCATCATGCGTCACCGGTGGTTCCCGGAGGTAGTCTGTGAATGCTCTTGGCCAGCCTGACAGACGCTACGTTTTCAACGCGAAATATATTTCTGAAGATGTACTGAAGAGCTGAATGTACCCTAGGAGATAGTCGGCTCGCACTCGTCCTCTGGAGCACTCCTTTTATGGTCGGGAGATATCCAGGGTCATGGCAGGTCGCCCCGCAGGTAGACTCGCCATAAATGCCAACGCAGTCCGCAATGCTGCGCTGCCCGGGCCAATCTCTCGAGCGACCAGAGCTTCAATGCACAGTGGATGTCGCACGTCTCCGCGCTGGACATGCACGTCGCGGCCCCCAACTCTCATGATAATTTGACCCCTGCCGGGATCACTCAGCGCGACCAGGAAGGGTCCTTTCCAGCCACCCGCGTCGTCTTTCGCAGCGGCGGGACTATTACAGTCAACCAGATCTCCTTCGTCATAGTAATACTGACCAGCGATAGTCGTCTTGGTCCGTAGTGCGCGGCTCGTCTTCGCTATTGCTGTGGCTTGAGTGATAGCCTCAATGCTTACCCGGCGAATACTCTGTTCTCGGGCATGATCGGATGTCTCCGTCGGCTGTTCGTGGTCTAGAACAAGCGAGTCGGGTAAAATCGCTGGTTGTCGGCCGAAGAGTGCGTAGCGTGGAAATACCTCATTATAGAAAACCGCGTTGGCGGCAAACAGGGCCTCATGCAACAGTCGGGTGAACACAGCGGGTGCGTCGAACCTGTTGAATTCAGCCTCCAAGGCGCGAAGTAGGTGTCGTAATCTGCCATTTCTGGTTTCAATGGTCGTAGCGCGTTGCTCACGCGCACGCATCCTCAACTCAGTGCCTCTTGCCTTAAGGACTGCATTGCTGGTGCGCTATTGAAAGCACCTTCTCCGCTGGAGTAAAATAC